AAATTTTTAAAAGTAAGGAATCACCGGTTCCAATTAATCAAAATACATAAAGAAGATTGTATAGCATAAGAGAAAATACCAACAAAAAGGGATCAATTGAAAGTTTTATTATCATTTATAAAAATTATATCATAACTAAACAATAATATTAAAGTATTTAAAAAATAAATTGATTCAAATAATTGAACCTATTCATATAATATATTTTTAAAATAATAAAAATTATCAGTTTATTTTATAAACTCAAGAAAATTATAATTAATGTATCCTTTAAAATTTATGTTTATTTTAAATTAATTAAGAAGTTATGGAAATAACTCATTTAAAAAACATTCAACCTAATACGTAAACCTATTGCTACACATAAACGTACGCAATTTCGGGTGAAGACAGAAAAATTCTACAGGTAAAAGAATTCAGATTTTTTATCATGCTTTTTTTTCCTTATGTGATTTCTGTACAAAGTCGATAAGGTTAGAAAGGAATAAGAAATTGGGGAGAAGGAGAATTTGAGAGGAAGAAAAGAGATTGTTTGTGTTGCGAATTTGAGAAGATGGAAAAATAGAGAAAAAGAAGAAGAAAAATGTGGAGAAGCAAAGAGAAGATAATAAAATAAATCTACAAAAAATCCATAAATATAGGGTTGAAAAACTGATTTTTTGGTTGACCGATTCATGTAAAGATTTTATGGTGACCGAATTTTTGGCAATAAAATAATAATAAATTTAAAAAAAATGATAAAAATAGAATGCATTAATTATCCTTTGACTTTTCTTGTTACTAAATTTAGTAAATAGGATGTCTCTTTATATATACTAGTACAGAGCCCGTGCGATGCACGGGGTGCACAATTTTAAGGCTATTTATCCAGGCTTATAATTATATACATGAATAAAGAAAAATGTACGGGATATATATAGTACGTGACCCGTGCGAAGCACGAGATATACTTATTTGGAGAATATTATATTATAAGATACAATATTCAATAAAAGTTTATAATACGCAAGAAAATTGTACAATGTTCAATAAAAGTTTTATAATATTCAAGTGGAGTCTTAAATTCTCTTATACATTAAGACTACTGACAAAATAATATTTAATCAATGAGTTTCCTTTCCTTGTACCCAAATTGTGAATATGATTTGAGGAGTACAATAAATCGATATATAGCTAGTAAAATTGTTATAAAATTATATGATTTTTTTTTCTTACAATATGGATTTAATATTGTTTTTATGATTTGATAATATAAACAAATCTATACTTAACTTTGACAAATAAAATAAATAAATAATTTCGTAAGTATTTAATGTATATACTAAATAGGAATATATTTGGTATAATCAAATACCAAATATAATCAAATAAGTCAAATTGTACATTTTTATTTGGTATTTGATTTTTTTATTATTAAAATCTTTTTATTACTTACCTTTTTAAAATAAAACAAATAGATAAATCAATTAAATAAATAAAATATTATAATACCAAAATAGTAATGACATTTAATGCACTTGACTTTTCTGGATAGTAAAAGTAGTAAATAAAATCTCCTTTTTATATAAGTATAGATTGTATAATATGAAATAGTAATGCAATAAATGTTGTTGACTTTTCATTATACTAAATCTGGTAAATGGTATACCTTTTAATATGAGTATAGATGAGTTATTTCCACAGAACTTGTCCGTTAAGTAGCTCGTGCAATTCACGGAAGATATTAAATGAGTGGACCATAGGGATTATCCGTTCAGGCCTAAAAAATAATAGAGTTTGATCATCTATCTTTTTACATCTTTTCATTAACGTCATTTTTTTTTTGTCGGAACATTAAACCTGAGTCTGGTAGCGCTACCCCGTAAATTAATTAATATATTATCTCGCTCACATGTTTATAATAATATAAATTTGATTTCATTATATATATATATATATTTATTCATTGATATAAGAAAAATAACAATTTTACGTAATCTTGTTCCTCGTATAATACTTATATTATTTCATTATAAAATTTATTGTAGCATAATGTCATTATTATTATAAGTTATAGATGTAATCTTCTTCTTCTTTTTGTTTTATGTAATTAAAATATTTAATGTATGTTCATATTATTTATTAATGTAATTAATTTAAATTATGTAAATAAATTTAAAGTAAAACATTTTGTACAAATATTTTATAAAATATACACAAATATTTTTTTAGAATTTAATTTTTTTACAATAAATAACAGCTTTGAAATTCTATGCAATTATTTAAACTGATTAAATCTGCTTTATTAAAATCGATTAAATCTTTATTTATAGGCTTGACATTAAAACCGATTTTATGAGATTTTTTTAACTAAACCGATGTTATGGAATAAAATAAATCTATACTTACATTTGACTTTTCCAACAAAGGTAAGAAAATCAGTTCTGATTTTTATCCCATAACAAATCTTTAATATCAAGCTATAAATACCAAAACAAATCTGTAATTAATGTCATTCTATTTCCAGCAAACATTAATTACCTTTGACTTTTCTTTATACTAAATCTGGTAAATGGGATACCTTTTAATATAAGTATAGATATAGATATAGATTCATAAGAAACTATGCATTTGTTTAGCTTAAAATTTTATAAGGGTCATGTATTTATTTATTTAAACTTAATTATAATGAAAATATTCAAATAAAGTAATTCATTGTCCCATTTTATCTCCAAAAGAATATACTAAATTACCTTACTTAAATAAAGGATAAATTAGTCATTTTCTACATTTTTTTTTAACTTTGTCTAAATTCTTCAAAATCTACAATCAATATTCTATGAAAAATTATAACAGTCCCATTCTCCTACCTAGTGGACACAAATTAATATGTCCACTAATCGATGTGGCAGGATGATGGGGTCGAATGATCAACCCACCAAGCTTTCGGTCGAATTGCTTCGCACTTAATCACAAACCAAGTCAACTTGAAGGGTTCAAGTTAGAAATCATATGTGAGAGAATGAATTTGATAGAGTAAATTAGAGCGTGGTTGTAGGAAATCAACCTGATACCTTATTTATAATGGATAATAAATTATTTATCAATAAAAAAGTTTTAATCCCCCTATATATAATTTTTGAATGTGTTGAGCATAATTGACAGACTCGTACGCTTTGGAACCCTATGTGGCAAATTTTTAAGTTTTGTTGTATGACTTGTATGAAGTTTAATTTACTTCACATCCAAAAGTAACTATACTTGAAATATCCATAATATATTAGATATTTATGGTCATTTTTAAAAGCATTAATCATGTTTTAATATTATTTCCTATTGTACACATGATTTATAAGGCATATATATATATATATATATATATTTTTAATCTTTCTTATTTTTCCTCATTTTTCTTTTAAAATTATAACAAATTTACTAACTTAAATTATAAAAATATTTAAAAGTTGACAAGCTTTTTTTTATTTATTATCAATTTTTTTTATATATAATATATCAAATTAATCATGTCTTGATTAACTTCAATTCGACATCTATATTATACATACAAACTGAACAAATAATTTATTTATCTTTATAATTAAAACTAAATTACCTATTAATATCAATTAAAGAAATAAAATTATTTAAACTAATTTAACTACAAAGTAGTTATCTGATATAAATTAAAAAATTATAAAATATAAAATGGTAAGTCATGCAAATGACATGTGTCATTTTAAAATATAAATAATAATATATATTTAAAAAAAGTAGTTAAAAATTAAAACAATTTTTGTTGTTATTATTTAAATATAAATTTCTTATAAATACTCGTGCAATAAACGTGTATTGTACTAGTTAAAGAGTAAAACTATACACAATCAAGGACCCGATACCTGCAAATCCAATAAACATCAATTTTTAGGGATATTTCGTAAATCTTATAACATATTTTAATATCGTAGAGCCTTGAACGATCCAGACTACTCAATTTTATGGATGTCACAACACATAGGTTCTCATACCAACAATTCCGATTATAACAAAGAGGGATCGAACATAAAAAGGGAAGTTCCTAAAATACGAAATAATTCACAATTTGGATGATGAAATATTAGTTATTCACCCGATTAATTCGAATCATCACTCTAATATTAATGATGCAAGCAAAAAATAGTAGTCATGCAATTTGTGCATGTAAAGCAAGGTGACGGGAAATAAAAGCAACACACGCTACTCTACTACACATACAGATAAGATAAAACCTTCCTTGCCCTCTCTCAGAAGCCTCATCTTACATTGTATTAGCCTCAAACTTAGCAAACATCTCGGACAAGTCTCTCTCTCCCTATCTCTCTCTCCCTCTCTCTCTCTCTCTCTCTCTCTCTCTCTCACCTACGAAGACAAAGACAAAGAAAAAGAGAGAGAGAGAGAGAGAGATCAAAGCTATATATATGATCTAATGAACACAAACATAAACCTCAAACCTCCATCTTTAATTACTGGCTCTAAATCTTCCACGAACTGACCCAAGCAAGAGATCACAACTTAGGAAGCTCAGTTGAGAGTATTCTTTAAAGGATTAAAGTTCTTCAAAGATAACCCTTAGTTCCATTATTTTGTTTCCTCAAGGTTGTATTCTTCGTGGTTTTGCCGCAATTCTGGCAGTTCACGCAGTTATAAGTTCTTGATCAACAGAAGCTTCATTCATCTAAGAAAACGTAAAACCGGTGCAGTTTTGAATCCCAAGAACCCAAACAAGATGTGGCCTAGATTCAAAACTCGAGCTACCAACAAAGGTGTGTGCAAGAAAAATCGGTAACTTTCACAGCTATACCCCTTGATCGTGTGCACGAAAATCGCATAAATTTCACAGCTCATTTGTTGCTGTTTTCACAAGTCACACCCTATTTTTTCTGTTTATTCAGTAATTTCATCTTATTTATACTTATATACTCATGAGCTGCCTGCAAATTATTCCGGCTGCAGGTAATGATAACACCAAGCAAACCAAAACAAACATGATCGTCAACGAGGAATATCTATGCGCGGTCAGGACACAATCTTTCGCCGATTGCTGCACGAAATTCCAGCTGCTCGTAAACGAGAAACCGCCGCCATTATCACCACCACCGGCCGACCAAATAACCCATTCAGGCAGCTTCTCACAAGTTCTTCTCCAACCGAGCCAGAAAGCCATAGCCTCAATCCTCGACTCATCTTCCCTTTTCTCAAAATCATCATCGGACGGCCTAAAATCGCTCCTCCTCAACTACTTTGACACGAGTTCCGAGGCCTCCGATTTCTGCAGCCGCCTCCTCGAAACCCTAACCCACCTCCGAACCAGCTATGGATCCATTGCTAAAATCATCGATTCCATCGGCCATGACGGCTCCCCAACACTCTCCGAGCTCCGATCCAGTGTTTTTCGGCAAAACCCCCTTTCGGACCTTAAGGGGCATAACATCGAACACCTTCGGGGCAGGCAGTCGTCTGTCCTTCGCGGGTTGAAATCAAGCAGGAGGGCGGTGGCGAGGAAGATCCGGACGGTTCGGATAATCAACCGGACCAGCGGCGTCTGCTGCGCGGCGGCCTGCGGGGTGCTGGCGGCCGCCGCCGTGTTCCTGGCGGCGCACACGCTGGGCGCGATCCTCGTGGGGCCCGCTGTACTCGGGCTGCGCGGGAGGGGGGTCCGGTTCGGTTTCCGGTTCGTGAAGTGCGAGGGGAGGTACCTGAGGAGGGCGGCGGGGCAGCTGGACGCGGCGGCGAAGGGGGCGTACATACTGGACCGGGACCTGGAGACGATGAGCCGGCTCGTTGGGCGGCTCGGGGACGAAATCGAGCACGGGAAGGGGATGGTAATGGCGTGTTTGGATGATAGGGTGTGTTTGGAGGTTTTGAAGGAGATGAGGAAGGATGGGTTCGGGCTGGGAAAGAAGGTGGAGGAGCTCGAGGAGCACGTTTATTTGTGCCTTGTCACGATTAATCGGGCTCGGGCCATGCTGGTTAAGGAAATTTCAAAGGATGTTGTGTAGAAGAAAAAGAATTCGTAGGGTAAGTTCAATGCTATGTCTTTTGCCTTCCTCGAGTTTTTAACCGTTGGATTGACACATATTTATAAGAGTGCATGTGTTAGTATTTAATTCAACGGCTAAAAAGACAAAGAGAGTATTAGTCAAACTTCAGAATGTATGGATGAATTTGTATTTGAAATTTTAATTAGAGATTTGTATATAAATGGATTGTTTCCTTGTTAGGATATGTGTGTATATAAATTGTGGTTAAATTTTTATAGAGTATTATAATTGAGTATAGTGTTTGAGTGTCAGCATTGGTGATTTATTCTTGATCGGCATTGAGGAATATGATGATGTTCGACCATTTTATTTCCCTACATATCATAACTCTTTTAAGGAATATTATTCCTTTTAAATAAATTTGTAATAGTTTGTAAATTTCGAGAAATTTCGCGATGCAAAAGTTCATTTGAAGAAAATATATACATGTTTGGTAGTTAATTAGTAATGAACTTATATGTAAATAAGTTGGTTCTCGTTTTGCAGTAAATTCATTATGTCAACGGCAATTTAGGATGTGAATTTTTGTAAAAGTGTTTACAAACATACACTAAATTATAAAACAATTTTAAAAATTTATTATAAATATTTAATTATGTACTCAACATGTTATAGAAAATTATGCATTTGGGTTTTGGATGGGTTGGTTCTAATATGATTGATAGAGGATCACCAAACTTCTTTCTTTGGAATATCCTTCAAAATGCCATGTGAATCTTCTACTTTGCAATCCATACATGTGATCTATTTTGGGTTTGCCAACCTCCCATGACCAAGCTTTCCATATCTTACTAAAATCCAGCTTCACTTTTGGTGTGCACTTATCACATTATGTGGGTTGAAACTTTAGAATTTTGCATTAGTCACTTAATTTAGACGAACAAGATTGCTAAGCATAAAAAATCGACACATAAAAAAATAGCAAAAATGAACAATAAAGCTCAATAAACTTTAGATTTATATAAAGAGGGGTTTCATATATTTTTTACAGAAACGAATAAAACACTTATTTGTCTTATGACGAATATTCTTTCTNTTTTTTTTTTTTTTTTTTTTCAAAATCATGTTATAATACATATTTATTTATTGGATGAACAACGAGTGTTTATGTTAATACAATTATACACTTATCTATATCCAATATTTCAATGGGATTAATTATAAATTGGAACATGATAGTGAAACACGAGTTTTCCCCTAGTTTTTTGGCATATAGAAGCATTAATTTTGTTTGCCAAATTATAGTTAGTGAACTAAAACTACCCACCTAATAACATAGAAAAGAACTATAAAACCTGTGGTAGTCCAGATAAATACTGTACATACACACGTTTGACAGTTAAGAGGGTGGGCACATTGGGTCATTATCATCAATATCACTAAACATTTTTTATTCACTCTTTCTCAATCTCCTTAATTTGCAAGGAATTTACTTGTTTCAACTCCCGATCATTCCCAACAATTACCATCAATTAAAAACTCTCATCCACTTACATTCTTCATTGATTAATTTGAAATGGAAAAGTTGCAGAAAAAAAAAATATAATTTTCTAGATCCAAGCTGCACAGAGTAGTGTAATAAGTTAATAACACACACTTTGTACCTACCAAGTACCAACTACACAATTTAGCCCACAATCAAAACCAAAAAGAAAAACAAGAAAAACCCACAAACTTCGTCCACAGCCAAGAGTTTCCAAATCATGTCCAACAGACAAAAACCCTTCAATTCCAAAAGGTTTTTTTTCTTTTCTCACTCATCCCACAACTCTTGTATCATGTAATAATTTTCCCCTGTCCTTTACAGTGAACTTTTTGAAAAGTTAAAAAAGCGTTCTTTCTCGCGACCCTTGGTTTATTTTTGCTGATAAATTGAAAATCTTGCATCTTCTATCAAGCTGCGGCTGCCGCCGTCTCGAGTTTGGTGGAAATCAGTTTATTTTTGTTTGGTTTATTCATCTCCGAATTCTTCTTAATGTCAAGTAAGCAAAGCGTGAATCTTTTCTCTCCTTGTTTTGTTGGACTTTTCTCGATTGTGTGGTTGGTTTTTTGAATGGTTTAGTTTGGTATTGGCTGTTTGAAGTCCCAAGCTATTGTTTTTTTAGCAGTTTTCAGTGGCCGCCTTTACATTGACGACTGGCTTGTCTGTATTCATTTTTCTCCCTATTTTTAGCATTTTTTTAGTATGAATCTTGTGGAAGTTTGAGAGTTTTAGTCCCAGTTGCTGCCTTCTGAATTATTGAATTGTGGGTTTCTTTTCTTACCTTTTTATCTTCTTTTTCATGTGATCATGTTATGGAAGCGTTGATGTATGTAAATCTTTATGCAGAGGTTTAGCTAAAGAGTTTATTTGAAAATTTGGGGTAGCTTCTGGAGGAGTTCATATTTTATTTGAGAAGGTACAGGATACAGAAAAAAAGGATGAAATGAACAGTAGTGTGAATGATAAGATGCCAAGAAGCTCAGAATTTGATGTAGGCCGGGCAGTCTCTACCAATACAGACCAGATTCATGAAGTGACTAAAATCAATCTTGATAGGCTATCTAATTTAGAACGGGATGATTTAGAAGATCAGTGTAAAAGCACGTCCTCTGAATTAGACGAACAATCTTATTTGTATTCGACACCTCCAAGGAGCCACCTAAGGACTACTTCATTACATACGTCTTCTTTTGTGGAAGTTTCTCAATCAAACTTTAGTCCTTCGCCTCAAGTGCAAAAAGGTCTGCAAATGAGAATTTCGTTTTAAATGCAGATTATTTCAGTTAAATTGAGTTCTTGGTTGAAAACATGGTGGCATTCTTACTTCAGTTTTTTTTATTCTATCTTTTTCTAGTTTTGGACCATTGCTTCACGGCACCTGTGCACCGAAAGCTCTTTCTTGAGAGCCAAGATACCTCGCCTATGAGGCCTATGACCGAGAGAAGGGGTAGTCCGATGCCTTCCCGAAAGTTGGATAGACTTTCAGAAAGCGAGAAGGTGAAATGCCTTTTGATGTTTTACTTTTATTTTTTCCCCACTCATGACAATTCCTTATTCATATATTGATCCTAGAAATCCTTTTTTCCACTTACAACTTTGACCTTACGAACTAGCAGTTTTTTGAGATGTAAAGTGGAACTGCATTTCGGAAGAAAATCTTGATCGATATTAAAAAAAAAGTTTCAATGTTAATTTTGTGCAGAAAAATTTAATTGTGAACTTAGTGAAGATCCAAAAAGACGGGACGGTGGAGGTTGATCTCACTCAGGATTCTCCAGTAGCTTCCGAGCTATTGGAGTTCCATCCAGTTGATGAATTTTTTTCTAGTGTTGATTATATAACGGCCGATCACAATAAGTCGATTCCAAAACTAAAGATTGCCATGCTTGTAGTTGGAACTAGAGGAGATGTACAGCCCTTTCTAGCCGTAGCAAGGAGACTACAGGTACAATTTGTAATTTTCTGAATGCATGCTTTTTTCAGTGGTTTTATCAAGTTTATCACTAATTGTTCATCTAGCTTGTTTAAAATATGTTTTTCCAGTTTAAAATACGAGCTGAGAATTATGTTTGGGTATTGAATTTTGGTTTTTGGAGATAATGATAGAAACTAAGCCCGTGGCTTAACCAAATTACCCAAATGCGAAAGTATCATTTTCTAAATTTAAATTTGACCAATTTTGTGAAGTTTGGGCTGCAATGGTTAAAAGTATCACTTCGCAACCTTATGGAAACAAAATGCGGGAAAATTTATCAGTTTGAAATTGATCCATGCTTTTGCAACATTTTGTGTCACGGTTTATATGGAATTTTCCCCTTTTAGCACTTTCCTACTATTTATTGGAAAAAATTCAATCTGTATATATGTGGTTACAGGAATATGGTCATCATGTAAGGTTGGCAACTCATTCCAACTTCCGTGGATTTGTTAAAGCAGCTGGTGTAGATTTTTACCCTCTCGGGGGTGATCCTCGTGTTTTGGCTGGATGTAAGAGATTTTATACATATACTTATACATTCCTTAAATTTATGTCCACAATATTTTATATATTATTAAATATGACCTGGGTATACAAAATACAGAATGCAAGTTAATGATTATATCTTTTTCTGTTGTCTTATATAACCTTGAGGTTTCAAGTGAGGCAGTTTTGCCAGAATTTGAGTAGGTTCCAGAATATGAATGTATAGTTGATAATTGTGAGCATTTATGTTATTAACTGTAGATATGGCCAGAAATAAAGGTTTAATTCCATCAGCACCTGGAGAAATTTCTGTTCAACGGAAACAAATAAAGGCGATTATTGAATCTCTTCTTCCAGCATGCACAGAGCCAGATCCAATAACCGGCGAACTTTTCAGGGCTCAGGCAATTATTGCAAATCCTCCAGCTTATGGTTAGTCATTTAGAAAAAAAAAATATGGAAAAATATTCTCACTATTAAAATTAAACTACAATATCTGCCTTTTAAAATACATCTCAACGAGCTCTCGACATGTAAGATTAGAGCATACAAAAATGCAATNTCTTGGTGTTCCCCTGCACATCTTCTTCACAATGCCTTGGACGTAAGTTTTTTGTTTGATTTGCCCAGTTCAGTCTTTAATTAGTTTAAACATGGTTATCTGGAATTTCTCAAGATAAATTTATTTCATAAAATATTTTTAAGAACACGATATCTCAAAAGTTTGGGAGGTTTTTGGCTCAGGGACTGATAACAAAATTTAATACATACTCACGAACAAATTCCTTGTGTAGCTTTATGTATTATGTTAATAATAATCGTTTTATTATATAAATTTACAAAAACACTTACATGTGTGCTATAATAGACAGGCCTACATATGATTTTCCTCATCCATTGGCACGTGTGCCTCAAAGTGCAGGAAACTGGGTATGTATGTTTCTACTATCATGAGATTCTTTTTTATGTTCTTCAACTGAAGATATAAACTCGACTTGCTATTTAATTNTTTTTTTTTTTTTTTTCTTACTTGATGTTGTAGCTCTCCTATATTCTTGTGGATTTACTGATTTGGTGGGGCATAAGAGGACATATAAATAACTTCAGGAAGAATAAGCTGAAACTTGCCCCTATTGCATACTTCAGCACGTACCACGGCTCGATTTCTCATCTCCCAACAGGCTATATGTGGAGTCCTCATGTTGTGCCAAAGCCGAAAGGTAAAGTGCATCTTTTGAAATTTCATAACAGTTCGGGCCTCTTTTTTTGAAAAAGAATAAAATAAAAAATAAGACGTTGAGATGTTTGGTTTTAGATAGATTTTAGAGGCACCGACATTTTTTAAACCAAAATGATCACAATTTTTCGAACGTATCATTAGTTTCCCGGGCATATGTTCTTTTTATAACAGTTCAGTCCTCATAAATTTAATTATTTGCAGACTGGGGCCGACTGGTTGATGTCGTTGGTTACTGCTTTTTGAATCTGGGGTCTCGGTACCAACCGCCCGATGAATTTGTTCAATGGATTGAAAACGGAACTCAACCTATTTACATTGGATTTGGAAGCATGGTACAGTAGTCCAAATAATAGTAATTTACCTTCTCATTTAAATTTTAATTTAATTCAACTTCATATTCTGTTCCTTGGTACTGTAAGAATCGTCTTTAGAAAATTTAATTTAGTGTGATAGACATTTTATTTTTTTACCTTTATAAAAATTGACTTAAGCAATGTCACTGATGATGATACTGATTTTGCTTGAATTAAGCCGCTGGAGGATTCGAACAAAACCACGAATATCATTTTGGAAGCATTAAAGAACACAGGACAAAGAGGAATAATCGATCGTGGGTGGGGAGAACTTGGCACGCGTAAGTTCTTTTTTGCCTGTTTTGATCTATTAGCATTTTATTTCGCTGTTCACTATATGAAAAATAAACATTTTGACTAGCGAGATAATCAGTCCCCAACATCCATCACCTTCGAAAAATTCTTCCGAATATTTTCTTCACNTCGAAACATACATTATTTGTATTAAAAATTGTGATTCGTGAAGGTTCATCACGGTGGAGCTGGAACCACAGCAACTGGACTAAAAGCCGGGGTAATAAATATTCATCGACATTTTCCCAACAGTTTTTGTCCTTTAATCCTCCAAGTGAACACTTCATTTCTTTTCTTTTCCTTGCAATTGGTTACAACTTACAAATGAATGACGAGAGATTATATATAAAAATGAAAATGCAGTGTCCAACGACCATTGTGCCGTTTTTTGGGGATCAGTTTTTTTGGGGAGAGAGAATACATCAGAAAGGGCTGGGGCCCGCCCCAATTCCCATATCGCAACTTAGCATCGATTCCCTTTCGGAAGCTATAACATTCATGCTCCAGCCAGAGGTACTTGTCCATACTCGAATTTTTGGCATTCGAAACACTTTAAAAAAAACTGCTATTTTTTTTTTTTTTTTTCTCATATCAAAACTAGAATTGACATCTAAAATGCAAAGCGTGCGTGCTAATCTAATTTAGATTTTGATTGAATTTAAACGAAATCAGGGCTTTTTTCCTCTTCTTCGGAAGCTGAGGGTTTAATTGGATAAAATATCCAGTTATGACTGACCGACCAGATAATTTTTTTAACTCAAAATTCAACTAAAACTTAACTCAATTCATTTTTCCCTAATATTATCAATATAATGAAATAATATCAATCAATCATCCTCAACATCACATAACTTTAATTCACTATTCATATGCTCCCATAATTTTAACTATTCATCACTTTCAACCACATTTCACTTACTTTTACATCAAATCAACTTTAATAATTATATTATAAATATTATTTAAAATCAAACTCAAAATTCTACTTAAACCAAACTCAATCAACTTCTTTTCAAAATTAACTCACTTTATCTAATAAATCCAATCAAATCTAAAATAACTTATATTAATCTTAGTTTTTAATTTTTTTCCGAACTTTGAAATAATGTTATAGGTAAAATCTCGAGCAATGGAAATAGCCACATGTATACAGAAGGAAGATGGCGTGGGGGCTGCAGTAGATGCGTTTCATTGCCATTTGCCGCCAGAGGTACCTTTGACGACAACGCCACCTTCAGAGAAATATGACAGCCTAAATCCTCTGCAGTGGATTTTCCTTCAGATTGGAAGAGTTTGCAGCTTAGCTTGTGGTTCTTAATGACTATTTTAGCCTCAACAGATGCATCCTTTTTTGCTTTTTGTTTTTGTTTTTGTTTTTTTTTTAACATTTTTAGCTGTACATAAGNTTTTTTTTTTTTTTTAAATTTTTTTGTAGCATTTGAATACTATAAGTCTATAACTAGTAAGGGGAGAGTGAAGTTTGTGTTTACATAATATGCCGCTGTCAGTATTAGTGTGTTGTAATAACCGTTTTGATACTCCAAATTGATATTTTGTTTTTAGTAGGCTTGTAGGTAAACGTGTTGCTTGAATATAAATCAATTTGAGTTTTAATTGAATTTTTTTTGTTAACGTTAACTTTAAAAAAATTGGTTGTATTAGGTTTGAGTGAATTTTTTTTATTAACGTTAACTTTAAAAAAGTTGGTTATATTAAGTTTGAGTGAATCTTTAAGTTTGTATTAAAATAATATTTAGATTAAATGATATTGAAGATGTTTGAGTTACGTTAAATTTGAGTTAAATTTTGAGTTAAAAATGTAAATCAAAAGTGATTGGACATAATTTATATCCGAGCACTAAATTCTTGAGTGAATCGGTCTAAAATTTAGATTGGCCAAAAAACAAATGTAAATTTATACTATCAAATAAAATATTTCCATTTATCCACTTAATCATATTTCTAATTCTCGAATGAGATTAAAATGTCCTTTTATTTTATATTCAATCACAGTGAAATAACTCTATGAAAACCAATTCATTTCAAGGTCAAAATGTCTAAGAAGTTATCTAAGTTAATTGGGAGTTTCTACCAAACAGTGTAAGCTTATGCTATAAAATATTATATGTTTTTTTATCTTATTTTTTGAAGTTGATATTTTATATCTTTATTTGCTAAAAAAGCACGACAAAGCTAACTGAAAAATATATCTATAAATACTTGCAAACTTTTTTCTCAAATAAAAAAGAAAGGTATGAAACATGCATCTATGTGCAAAAAGATAAAATAATGAGATATGTAGTCTATGCAAAATTTAAATTGAATTAACGACATTAGTTAGTTATACTTGTACACTTCTTGAAACTTGATTGCTTCACTGTGTAACATTTGGTTTTCCATCATCACATAATAAAATTCCACACGCTACAATCATCACATAATAACATTTGATTTTTCATTTTATTTGTTTGATACACTTTATTTTATTATTTTATTTGTTTATTCTTCTTTACGACTACTCAAACTTCAATAGTTTATCTCCAAATTTCTCTCATTTTTTTTTTTTCATTATGTATTTGCTCTTTCTTTTTTCAAAATCAGAATAAAGGAGCAGAAATGGCGATTTCAGTGACCGCCGGAGCTTCTATCGCTGTCAAAACGCAGTCGTCTTCTCCATGTACGAGGTCGAGATTAGCTCACTTTTCTTCTCTCCGGCCCCCGACAGAGTTCCGAGTTTCCGGCCTTCCGAACCATTGCCTGAAGAATAATCCCCCTCGCCAGGCACTCACGCTGGTAAACAGCTTTATTTTTAGAAAGGTTTAGCTGAAAGTTCATATGATGACAGAAGATTGTTTTCGATTTTTGGTATGTGTAATTTTCATGAGAATGGTGTCGTGATTTTCATAAGAGATATTGTGGAATATTAGCTTATTTTCGTGATGTTTTGAGTCTGCTAATTATTGTAACATGTTTGTGCTTTCTGAGTTATAATGTTCAATTTGATGAGTTTTGCTTCATACTCTAGTTTTTTCGTGGAAGATGTTCAGGCAAAAATTGTTCGACATTTGAGGGATGTTTTGATTTTGTTTATTTGTTGTTTTAGTCCAATTATTGGACTTTCGGTGACAAACGTGAACCGATGAGAATCTATCAAATGTGTTTCTCCATTGCCCTCTAAAACTAGCTCAGGGAAAATAGACTCTGAGTACAAACATTTACAGGTGATTGGTGAGATCATGATACCCCTTTCAATGCTAAAACACACAAAAAGAATGTGGAATTCATTAGAAGCTTTTGCCTTTTGGACTGTTGAGCATGTTGGCTACATTTCTGGTTATCTAGGAATCTAATGGCAAGGTTCATAAATCTTGTGGACATTGAGTTTTCAAGCATCAACAGTTGATGTAGGCATATACCATGTTATAGAGAATATTATTCGATAATGAAAATAATTGACAAGGTGTGTACTGTAGTTATTAATCTCATATATTTGTTGAAACCTCAATCAATGAGCTCTAGGTAATAAAAAGAATGCACATAACCAGTTAGACTGTTAGAGACTTATAGAAACCGTATCAGAAAACAGATTCAAGTTTGTTGCATATTGTGGATTAAGATTGTCGTGAGCAGAGTGGTTGGATACATTTTTTAGGGATATAAAAAGAATGATGTAAGGAAAAGGAAGCAGGAGATGAATGAATGATAAAGAAAACTCATGATTGACCATAAACTAGGCTTTTTATATCAATTCCTTCAGTAATCGTATTTATTTTGTCTCGCAACACTTTCATGCTTGAGAAATTGTCCACATTTTGTAATTTACTCAAATTTTCTAACATCATTTGGAAGACCTTTGTCTTGATATTTGAATGGAAATCTTCTTCAGTAATCGTATTTATTTTCTAACGTTGTGCCCTCTCAAGTCTCCTTTGGTAAAGATTGCTGATTCGTCTATTTGAGATGTCTACAAAACCAGACATATTCGAAATAGTCAAATTTGAGCTTATGTGTAAACATTTATATGTTTGGGAAATGAATCTCATAACTGGGAGAGATGTTCAAGTAGGATATTTTTTCTTTTATTATGCCTGATGATTATAGATCAATTAAATTTATGTATTTCATCTTCCATTTTTGCTTGTGTTTCTATGGTGCTGGTTTGAGTTGCATGTCTAACATGCTGACAGGGTTTCTTCATATGTAGCATATGCCAAACATTATCATACTCTAAGCCTACATAAATGCCCCATCTCATTTTGGCAAAGCATCTTCAAAGCCACATATTTCTTACTTTAGACACAAAATATCCCATTTTTGAGTGAAGGTATTATAAAATGGAGTCTCTCAGTTTCGTTTGCTAACAAACAAATCTCATTAACTGAATGCTATGGTTCAGTTAATAAGTTTGTGCTTGTTTTGAAAATGCACCCCATAAAGATACAGTGTGCAGAACAGAAGCCTGTATGAAGGGCTATTCGTAATTTTGTAAGTTTTTTGGCAGAATCGTAGAAATTTTTATTCCTCCGACCTGTGGGCTTGCGAACGAGAAGTTCGTGACAGGACAGAACAGGACAGGTCTTAGCTGGGCATTTTCGAAAGTCGACGAAACAAATTTAAAAGATTGAAGTGAAGTGCCAAATTAACATACTCATGAAACTATATTATATAACCGAGAAAATACGTATATACACCCAACACTTGAAGCTCTTATAACTGAGCCCCTTAGCAAAAATCACGAGCATCTCATGAAACAACAATGTCTACACATCTCACTGCTACTATTTTTTCGCTCTTTATTTTCCTTCCCTTTTTCCACACGATATTATTATGCAGGCTGTTGAGGAGGACGAGCCGCCCACAAAGAACCTAAAGCTCTCAGCCTCTGAAAATATTGCCCGAAAGCAAGCAAACCCTTAGCCGCCTGTCGGGTCGTCAGTATTCGTGCCATCTGCTGCAAAGTCTGCTCCCTCAGGTGATCCGCCTTCCCGCCAAAATATCAAAACCATCACCAAAAATATAAATACATATTTTTCGAATAAGAAAAAAAAAATAAAAATTGACATGACCAATGTATACATATATATACAATATACATTCATGCATATTGTAGGAACTCGGAACTCAGAATACGGACCTGATTCACGAAGCCTTCTAGAGAGTTGAGCCGATCAAGAACCGGCTGACAGCTGTAACCCACAGAAACCGACGAGGCTATGGCTTGAGCTAGTGTGTGCTGAAGCTTTTCCAACCCTTGAGACAGGGCATCTTCTGCCTGAGTACACAAGTGCCTCAATCCACGTACACTCGCCATTTGCTGCTCGGTCAGCGGCTCCAGCTGGGGCATTACCACCTGTTAAGTTAAACACGCACGAATGGTATACTTTCGTCTTTCTTGGAAAATATAAAAAAAAAAAAATGAAAAAAGAATAAAAGTAAGTGATTTTTTTCTCACGCTTATGAGCTCAGAGGGTCGAAACCCGCCAATCCAGAGGAAAAAGCGCTCGACCGAAGTCCTCCACATGCCGGACACTAAGTAGAAAGCATCGGCTCTTGCGGCATCTTTTTTCATGCAGAACAAATAGCGGTAGTGGGCCAACACATTCTCGACTGTCATGCGTAGCTCGGCATCACTTATAGGGGACTGAAGGGCATTTTGGAGATTTGATATTTTCCGGTCTTCTTCTTCTATCCACTGCACGTATGCTATCTCGAATGCAGCAATTCCTGCGCCAGTAACCGGTAACCCGATTTTTTAGTACAAAGCAGAATCTCCAAACGGGACCTTAGTGAGTTAATTTGTATCGAAAATTGAAAATGTAATATTGTGATGAAGTCCGAGATTTATACTGCTGCTCGTATAAAGCTGAATGAATACCTGGGTTTATGGTTGCGCATAATCCTATGTTACCAGCCGCGCTTGCCATAAGCATGCCCTGCTGTGTCATACATTCGGAACTTTCACAATGTTCGATAATTAATTTACTCATTGTCCGTGAATTTAGACAAGATGCGCATGTAAGAAGAATACGAGAAAATGAAAAGAAAAAGATATGTTTTCTTGCCTGTTGTCTAGCTCTCTCAAGCTCTGTCTCGAGTTGTGCCAGCTTCATACGGCTCGTCTCTAGCTGCTGGACATATGCCTGTAGCGTAAAAACCGACACTATAATTTGAATTAACCGATCTACAAATTGATAATAATTAATCACAGGAAAAAGCTTAACACCTTCTTTCGTAACCGACTTTTCCTAGCAGCTTCACGGTTTTGCGCTAACCGTCTTTGTATCTGTAAACAGTTTCAAACGAACCAGATGTTACTTCCTAACTTCTCAAAATTATCGTGTTTATAAAGAAAACTCGAATCATTAGCATGGTTTTATCACCTTCTCTGAAATACTCCGCGACGCATGACTATCTTCGACATGGTCAGCTGATTTGTCGGACAAGTATTCAATCTGGAATGGAAAATAATCACGAAAAAAATAAATTGAAAAACTGAACATATTGTGTTTATATATATGTTTATGTGTGACGAAGTCAATCTCACCTTATCGTCTATTTTAGGGTCGGATTCGATGATCATGCACCCGCCTGCACCAGGGCTTATGCTGCCCTCAAAGGCATCTTCCCACATGCTGAGCTGGTGCAGCGACTCGTGCAAAGACGGGGCAAACTCAGCTGTTGGTGTAGTCATCATTGTTTTGTGGCTTAAAAATTTGAACTGTAAAACCACAAAAACTTGTCATTCCTTCAACTGTTGAACATATATATAGAAAGAGAGATAACCCAAGTCGATATTGTTCGTGTATAATATGGGCATGCAAATCCTTATACAAAATGAAAAAGATATATAGATAAAAATGGAAATTCAAGAATCTCTTACACAAATGATATGTATGTGACAAATTAAATTTGGTGATCTTCTTTGTGAAGGCCACAAACAAATATGAACATAAATCTTAATAAAATATGTTTCGAGAAGACCAAGTTGGGACGTTAAAGTAAGCCAACTCACTTGATAGATGCACGAAATATCGGCCCATAAAACTTTAATTTCTTCAAACAGTCTCATCTCAGACGTTCTGGACCACCAGTCGGATCAAGGCTCCCTGCGTAAACACGATGCTTAAATTAGTCACAAAATCATAGCTCCTAATTAAACTGAATTCCTTATATATATAGAGATTAATAACTTCATACTCAAACATCGTTTATATAATAAAGTATACTTATCTGGAATCTAAGAATATATATATTTAAACAAAACCATATATTATCCATATAAATTATAATAGTTTAATACTATTTTTTGGTGCCATATCAATTACAATTATCATTATTTCTCGTCCGACATATCTATGTAAAGTACAAAAAACATAAGCAGTTACTTATATAAACTTGGCCAAAAACCGGTCAACAATTATGAACTTTTGGGAGTTGGTGCCACGTCACGGTTGGTGGATCAGGTGTTTACCACCCTTCCCCGAACTTTTGGGAGGGACAAATGGAAGAGCGCCAGCGTACGTTCGGTGGGGCCCACAGAGTGATGATTTGGAAATGAGAAAAAAGAAAAAAGCACTTTATTATGTATGAATTATTCCATTGAAAATGAAACTTTGATTGAGCGCAATTTTTCCAGGTATATGGAAGAAGGGGTCGTTATGTGGAGGACTAATTAGTAAAAAAACAAATTATTCAAAAAAGTGATTTTAAATTTTTGTAGCACACATCAAAATTACCAACACATGCTTACAAAGTAAATAAATAAGTTGTATTATATATATTACTCATGTGATCCACACACCAAATGAAATAAATACTTATATGGACTTAATTATCCATATATATATGCTATAATAATTTCTTAGGATAGAAATGGAATCTCAAATTTTCCTATATTAAAAGACATGAAGATTTTTTTTCTTCATTCATCTTGTCGGTGAGATGATAAATCGTACCTAAACAATAAGGGAACTATGATTAGCACCTTTGTTAGCACTAAACGAAACATATCAACTAGTGATTAAACCTAAAGTAGAACTTTAAACACCTTTAAATGTGCCAATAATCAAGATTAAATTTCATTATCTTATATCATTTTCATGTCCAACTTATTTTGATCACATACGTTTGCCAGCAAACGCATGAGTTCTTCATAGTGCGTGTCAGGAGATAAAAAGAAAAAAGAAAGAGTTGGGTTTATTGTGGTTAAAAATTTAAATTGATTGTGAGGATAATGTACACGTGTCTTAGATAATAGAAAATTGGGACAGGTTTTTTCTTTTTTTTTTATTATTTTTTTTTTTTTTAGGTT